GCATTTTTGAAAATTTAATAAACGCGACTTTTGCGCGGCAGAGATCTAGAGATACGGTTATTTTTACTAAATGGTTATAACAGTAATTGTTACTTCAAAGTAACCGGTTATTTAACACGCTGAGTGCCGCAGCATTTTCACGTGACTTTCCGCTTACGTCGCGTAGGTCATCGGTATAATCCACCATTATCGTATTTATCATATTTTTTTATTATATATCTTTATAGGATATATCTTATAATGTTTATAGATAAAATTATACAAAAATCTTTATCTACTATGCAAGCAAGAGATAATGTACAAATGCGAAGGGAAAGTCTAACATGGGCCACCGGTATTTAACATTTATTTGAGTAAACGATTATTATTTTTATTATTATAATATATTATTATGTTTTATTTATTATATATATTTATTATATATTATATAGATATTGCAGATTATAGATGTTTATTATATTTATATCTATAATTTCTTTATAATCTGCAACATAAAACTGATAACGGAATGATTAATTTATTTCCTTTAAATTTGTATATGATTTATAATTTTTATATGATATAATTTTTATGTGATTTTATATGAGATAATTCAATTTAACTGAAGTTACAAGATGCTACATCACTATCTAACTCAGTAAAAATATTCCATATTTCATTCTTTTTATGATGCCTGCACCAAAACCTTGTTCAATTTTAACAAACTAATCACATATTTACTGTCACGAAAGTTGATGTTAGCATTTTTTAATAATATATTTTTCGTTGTTTAACCACACGGAGGATCATTCGGAAATCGTGTCGCACGAATTTGCGCTCGGGAACCTTGCATTTGCGTAAAACGCGTGACACTCGCGAAATTACTCTCGTCTGAGTGCATCTAAAAGATGCATTTAACGCGTCACCGGCTTTTCGCGCGCGCGCGCGCCAAACGATCCCGTCGCCGCGTTGCAATATTGTATCGGCAATCGAACAAATTGCTTCCTTCCGTACAGCTGGTTTTCGAATTACGAAGCCCATAAATATGGCCGTACCTACGGGGAATTTGTTGGCGGGGAATATCGGCTAGCTGTGCAATCGCGACCATAAGTTATCAGTATCGCGCGAGCAGAATTCAATCGCCGCGCGATATAAAACGCCACGTGAGACGACCGGCGTACCGTTCAACATTTCACTCTTGGCTCCTCTCCCTTCCCCCCCCCCCTCTCTCTCTTTGTGTGTGTGTGTGTGTGTGTGTGTGTGTGTGTGTGTGTGTGTGTGTGTGTGTGTGCAGACATGTATATATAAATACACACACACACACACACACATATTCATATCGAAAATGAAGTCGGGTATAATAGCTTCGTATATTGTTTCTCAGTAACGAGCGTACGTGTTTCCGGAAACCGGGACTGATATCGAAAATCGCTTCCCGCTAGTGGCGAACTTGATTAGAATTTTGGACGTTCTCGAATCCGACCGATTCCTCGAGCGCCGCGAAATCGCGACATCAAATAAATTCGGTGTAAAATTATTTCGCAGAAAAATATCAAGCACATTGAGGAAAAGTTAGAGATTCAATATATGTGTTTATTCGATTTGGGTTTGTTTAATATAAACAACATAATTTCATAACAAATATCATTTTGTTTGAATGAAAAAGTTGTTTCTCACTGGGAGTGAAATATGTTGTTTAATAGAGGAAACAGTACAGAAGAAACAATGTTTGGTTTTTAATAAGAGAAAGATTTATTTTATTATATTAAATATTGTTCCGGTGAAACAAGGAAGTTATTTAATATTTTTCTAACATGGAGTTGCTTCCTTCAAATAATGTATTATCTGTGGCAACCATTATAATGATGGGATGGAAATATAAAAGAAATATGTTATTTGATGTAAAGAGAGAGAGAGAGATATTTATTGTTTGAAAAACCAAACAATCCAGTTTGTTGATTCAAACATTGATTTTTTCATTTGTTTGCTCTGTTTCAAAAAAACAAATTTGTTTCAATTAAAGAAATTTTATTAAATCTAAAGAAATCTTTTCCTCTGCAGTTATATGTTTAAAATTCGGTTAAAATATTAAAATTACGGAAGGAATACCATTTCGGAATGCTCACGCACGTAAAACCGCAAGTCGTTAAATACGAGAAAGATTTAGGATACAATTAAGGAGGTACGCTAGGTATCCATATGGTAAGAAAATCAAGCAGGTGGCACTCTTTTGAATCGTATATAAACGCGGTAAAAAGTCTACGATATGCGCGATACGTCGCGTATCGCGATAGGATGACACATCCAACGCTCACACATTCGTGCGCTTCGTGACGAGACAACGGCCTTACATCATTACACGCTAATTACGCGCCACGAAGGTCTGTAATTTGCGGAGGAAAGCAGTCGCTTCATACCACGTATCGCTTAATCTCGCACGACGCTTTCGATTTACAAACGATAACTGCCTGCGATTATCCCATTCTGAATGCTTGCTACTGTCTTTCGCGTGCTGACGCACTGCCGGAACGCGCGTACCGTCACTAATATTAGCTGAGATTAGATTAGATTATCGTGGAACCACGGACGATTTTTGTCAAATCAATTTGCTGACATCGAAGTAACCGTGTTTTCGGAATCTGTAAATATTTATCAAGTTTCAGTGAGGGAGGGAGAGAGAGAGAAAAGTCATTAAAATTAACCTATGTATAGAAAGTTGACATACTCAGGTTTTTCAACTTTAAAATGTCGAACAGTACATGAATTTTGTCTACTGTGTGTAATAAGTGGGGCTGAGATAATATTTTTAATTTATAAATTGATCTATTTATCTACGCCTCTGTCACTAAATCACGCAAGAAATATCAAGGTTAGATTGTTCTGTAAACCGACATACGTGAGTTTACTGATCTTTTAACCGACTGATACCTGAACTTTGTTGCGAAGTATCATCTTACAGAATAGAATTCAAGCTACCAATAACGGATCTTCCTTTGTTTTTTTTTTTGTTTAAGATGGTCTGAAAGAAAAGTTAGGAGATCATTTTTCATGTAATAAAAAATATATAAGATTAAAAATGACATTTAAAGATATATATAATAAATATAATAGAAATATAATAAAATGTATTTTAATAAAAATTAATAAAAATATAATAAAATATAATTTTAGTGGTTTTATTACATTTTTTGACAATTACCTGGTAAATATCATGTATATGTCTTGATTTTAGAGTCTACTTTCTGAAAGAGTCTAAAAGAGTCATTTCTCCAACTTCTTAAAAAGTAGTTATTTGCAAGACAACAATTCTCAGAAAACTACAATAGATTTTAGTAGAAAAATGTTGACGCCTTACATTCATGCACATAAATTTTAATTTTACACATTGGGAAAAAAATACTTAAAAATTTACTTCTGGGAGAGACACAAAGTTTATCTCACAGAAATAAGGTTTATTATAGTAATAAATAATTATCATATTATATACATATATAATATAAATTATAATATTATTTAAATAATTATATATATATATTTATATATAATAAATAAGGTAAATAAACCTTATTTTTGTGAAGTAAACCTTATATCTTCTGTGAAGATATTTCTGTGAAGTAAACCTTATATCTTCAAACAAATAAATTTGTAAGCATTATTATGATCATTTATGATAATTTTGACATGTCAGAATATTTTTCCCAATATAATGCCTTGTGTTTTCTGTAAATAGCGGGATTTCAACTTTCTATTTTCGTTAATAACGAGATTTCAATGTTGTATTTTTCAGATTCGTGAGTAGCACAATAATTCCCACTGAGACTTTCCGCGAGCCTGGATGCCGTAAGTCCATTCATAGATCATCCTCTTATCCGGACTTATCTGACTTATCTAACGATTAGCGCGTTCGTGGAAACTAGCTCTGGGCAATTGCGCGTCTCTCAAGCGCGTAATCATACGAACAACACCGAGAGCCGTCTGTTTTTCCCGAGGACATATTAATCGCGCTGATTGAACTGAAGTGCGAATGAAGTACACACCGCGTCACCGAAAGCCGCTTTACTCGATTCATCGAGGATTCATCTCTCGAACGAGCGCGCGCTCGCCGCATTAAACGTTTCTTCGCCGGCGAGATATTAACGCGGAAACAGGATGCGGCCTCCGAGCAGGATTCCGGCGGCAACCGAGCTAATCCCTTGCCGCGACACCTCCTCTCGATCCATCGGGAGCAGCGCGATCTACACAGCCGTCCCGAGAAATTGGCCGGCGCGCGATTTCCCGAAGGAGTTCGGAAACTTCCCCGCGCAGATGTGTCCCCTTTCACGGTCCCTCTTTCTCCGCGGAATTCATAATTCAGCGGCGCGAAGTTCTCGCAACAGGTGGAACTCCGCGCAAGAGAGTTACGCGCTTAATTCGGAACGTGTGCCAGCGTGTGTACGTGGAAAACGCGCGAGAGGATTCCGCGCGCTCGGCGCCGCGTTGAGCAACCGGGCCGGCGGACGAGCCGAAGGTTCTTTCTGCTTTCGCGCAAAGGCCATCGAGAGTATGCCTACGCTCCTTCTTCGTGGTTCACCTTCTCCTCCCTCGTTCACCTTCTCCTACTCCGCGGTACCTGCAGGTCGCAGGTGTACGAGCGCGAGCCGGCTATCGCTCGCTCGCCGCTTTCAGTCGCCGTCTGGTCGCCGCCAGGTTCCCCGCGCGCGGTTCTTCCCGTCGCTCTCCGATCCCGCGCGATAATAAACGAATCGCTTGTCTTATCGTTAAATTCGATCGATCGATGATCCGAGCTTCGGTCTTGCGGTATCAAAGTTACAAAGGCGATATCACAGCGGCGGACTTACTCGATGAGTTACCTGCGCACGCTCCTCTGACGTCGGGGGAATTTTCGTAGACGCGGCGCGGAGACGAGAAAGTGCCCGCGTGGTGCGTCTCATTGGTGAAGTGATTCCGGCCGCATTCCTCGCGTTTTTGCAGCCCGGCTTTTGCGGTGCGCGGTTTGGTACGATTTGAATGGGAGGCGAAAATGCCCACCCGCTTCTAAATGCAACGCCTCGAAACGTAGTAGGTGAGTCTGACGTCACGCACAGTTAAAAATATTTTGTACGTGTGTATGTCAAAGTCGGTCCTGCGTTAAAACTGTTGCGTTGAATTCTTAACATGCCCGAATGTTAATTTAACGTATTGTGTTTATGTTATCTCAACATTTTGCTTCGTAGTGATATTCAACGTGTGCAAGTGTTAAAATAGTATAACGTATTTTACACTTCGGTGTCGATTAATGTTTTTTATAATTTTTTGTTTATTTCTGACATATTCACCTTATGTTAAATTTTAATGGAGCGCTTGGGACATGTGAAATGTGTCAAATTTAATATCAACATTTTTTACGGTGTATATACAGCAAAAAACATTTTATCCTTGTATTAAAATCAGTTTTGCTAAAATTTTTGTGTTAATTTTGACATAATATTTGTGTCACTTTTCAATATACTCACATTATGTTAAATTAACACAGAAATTTGAGTAGACCATTTGGGACATATGACACGTGTTAATTTTAACATGAAATTTTTTACCGTGTAAACTCAACGATGTCGACGGGGATGGTTTATTCCGCAAATTGAAAAAATGCCGTTTCTCACGCTCGGGCCTTTAGAGATTTGCGCATAAATCGCCGCGATATTTATCCGTAATAGATTGTATATTTATACGAGATGCTGCACGAAATGTCACAGCGTTCGATTCAAGGATGCGCCTGCGAAAGGTCACGAGGAGAGACGAGATACGAACGAGGTGATCGCGTCGAGTGCGCGCCGCCTCGTTCATTAACAGCCGTCAGGCTTTCGCGTATCATTTCGCGCATTAATTCCGTCCGATGGCAAATATAATAATTTGCAACGTGTCATATGATACGCGAGGGGAAACAAACGGCGCGACACAATTCCGCGTCTGCCCGTATCATCGCGGATCGCAATGTCGTTGTCGCGCGCGCGCGACGACTGCATAAATTACTCGATTCGTCGGACTCTCCGCCTATGATCAAGCGCGCAGAGCCGGACGTACAGTCGCGTGTATCAATCTAACGTGCGTAATTTCCGTTATCTTCACCGGCGATTATATAAATTGTAGCCTTGTCCGCCTGAAATTACTTTCACCGATACGCAGCACGTGCGCTCTCGTGCGCGCACGATCACACTTTTACGCAACGAGGCGCACGGCGATAGGACTTTGGCACTTCCGCTTGCGAATTTGTATATTAGGTGTACAAATTAATTCGGTGCTTTTACATTCAACGTCTTATAACTTTGGTATAAACTTAAATTGTTTTCTCGCCCTAAATGATGATTCAAAAATACCAACTTTAAGCTGTGAGAAACAACAGTTAACGGCTTTGCCGACATAACTTCGGAAAACAGTAGTCATCACGATGTCCGGAAAGGAGCATCTGAGGCACTGCATTCTTTCTGCGTTTCAGTTGAATAGAAATGCTGCTCGGGCCATCAAAATGGTTTGTTCCGCTTTTGGGTGAAGAGTGAAAGTGACCCATAAAACTTGTAAAAAGACCTTCTACCGGCAGGTACTTTTACAGTGAAACTAAGCAGGTTCTGCTACTCGATAACGCGCGGCCACACATTGCAAAAGGGACGAAGGGATCCCATCTGTACGTTAGGCTGGGAAGTTCTCCTTCTTGCGGCTTATTTGTCAGTCCCATCAGATTACCATCTATTTCAGTCGCTTCGACATCATCTGGCGGACACGCATTTTAAAACAGATTAACGAAGTCCGGAAAAGCATTAATAACTTCACTGAGTCAAAACCGCCAAGCTCTTTTTCCGCATTCCACAGGGCGTTCATCAGTTCCATCCATCCATCCGGATAGATGGATGAAGTAAAGTCGTAGAAAATAATGGAAATTATTCCGAACGTTAAACTTGTATTTTTGTGAATAAACTTCAAGTTTCGTGAAAAAGAAGGGCACCGAATTCATTCGTACGCCTAATATCATATAGTTTGCATAACTTAAGAGTTTCATCGGCACACACACATGGCGGCAACTCGATCGCCGTTCAGCCGGCTATTTTCACGCGGTCGCAAGTTATCCTTATTCGCCGGCCCGGGTGTAACACGAAACACGGAGCGTGTTGGGCGAATCACGCGACAAAGCGACACGCTTTAAATCAATTTTTATTGCCTCGCTCTCCGCGAGCAACAGCCTGGTGGTAGGCTTAGCAGCACCGCCGGAAGTACAGCTGAGAAAGCACTCTCTCGCGATCGGTCACGAATGAATCTTAACGGAATTGCGGCCCGTAATTCCCTCGAAGCCGAACCGACGCGCCTTGCTCGAATTATCGAGCAATCGGGAGCTTTACCAGCGAGCGCCCTGCACAAGCTCGCGCGTCGTCCCCGCAATTATGCGGAATATCGAATCGCGTATCGAACTGACTTGAAATTTCTGCTGCTACGACGCGATTGCATATTTCCGATAAACGCGAAGCTGAATGACAGCCGCCGCCATTTATTATCATTCACCGGACAATTGCGACTTGAGGCGCCGATCGTTTCGCGAAAATAGATTATACAAATACACGAATATTTTTGTAGAAGTTTTTATCACGCGAGTCCGGGGTTGGGGAACCTTGCACGCGATCATTCACAATCGCGATTGTCATCGCACCGACGAAATCTGGCGAATGAAGAGAATTAAGCTCATGAAGCTTCGTAAGCGATCGAACGTAGCGACAGCCCACATATTTGGTCAGAGTACGTTAAATATGTATTATCATTTTGATCCCGTGATACTGTGTAATTAACTCTCAATTATTCTTAGATAGTATCGCGGGATTCCGGATTTTCAATTGTGATATTAAGGGGAGGTTCCAACATAATTAGTTTATTATTTATTGAGAAAATGATTTGTCCCGAAAATGAAAATGTCCTATAACTTTATTTAACTAAGTGATAAATGTTAATGTTAATTTTGAGCGAAATTAAGAGAAATACATATCCAATGTTACAATAAACGCGGATATGGGTTTTATTTTATTTTATTTATTTAATTCATTTAGTTCTCTTTTCTTTTTTGTTATTAATGCTTTATTTACATATCAGTTTAGCTAATATAAGCGCATACATAATAGAAAGTAAAAGTTTAAGTATGTGGATATATGTGCATATATATCGCGAGTACTATTTTAAATTGCAAATTTTCTATGTCTATATTTATATTTTCAAAACAATTCTATGTCTATATTTATATTGTCAAAACAATTCTATGTCTATATCTATATTTTCAATACAAAATGGTCAATGTAACTCTGAAATGTTTGTATAATGTTTCTATATTAGTCCTTAACATCACAGTAGTTTTTCATTAAAATTCTAAATGTGCTTTAGGAGAAATTAAAAATAGAAACGTTAACCTCGAGGAACGTTTCAGTTTGGGAAAATCTCAGCTGCCGAACTGTCAATTGTTTTTCTAATTGCATCGATAATTAGATCATATTTAAATCCATAGTGCAAGTTCCAGCGAATCCTTTAAAAACTCATTCTATACTACGGCAACCTTAATCTAAAAATTTTTTCCTCGCGAGATTTAATATTCGTACGTGTCACGCGATACGAGTTTATATCTTCGAGCCTCGAGAGCTGCATTATAAAAAGCCCCCGAGTGCCTGAATTAAATATGCTATCTGATTAAATTCCGATATCACGACGAACGTATACTCGTCGATTCTCCTCTATCTCCTTCTCTCCCTCTCTTTCTCCTCTGCTTTATCCTTCTCGTCCCAACATCTCATAAAGAAGTTGGCGAGCGGCCTAAAGAATCAGCTTCGATAAAGCCGAGGTATCCAAGCGGTCTTTACGTGTCTGTCCTTTCTATCGCTGTGCAGTTGCTTCCGGTAACGGGGCAACAGACCACGAAGAAACTGCGCGCGATGCGAGACGCGCAGCGAAGGAAGGAAGAGAGAGAGAGAGAGAGAGAGAGAGTGGAAGAATATTTCAGCTCAACCGCGAGAGCAGCCCCGGCAGTCAGTCACGATGTCGATGGTAGCTTCTCACCGCGTTACACCTTCGAAGTTTGCACCGCAGCAATGCTCGCGATCAGTGTTCCGAGTTACGAGCCTAGGTGCGCTTTTATAATAATTTCCCCGTTCGCGCAGCCATGCAGCACTCATTATGTGTTATTCTTCATTCTCTCTCTCTCTCTCTCCATCTATCTCCTTCTTCTGGACTTCCTGTTTATTCGAAAAATATTACCCGAGCATGTCGGCAGCAGCCGAGCGGGTTAATCAGTCAGATTCGCTAGCGCGTGGTTAAAATTAGACAAGTGTATCGACGAGGGACCGTTTAAAGGGTATCGGTCAACAATTCAATTCGTTCGGCAAATAGAGATATATATCACTCGTCGCATATTTATCATTCGATGGTATTAATCGGGGTGAGTCCGACGTTAAAAACGAGCTTCGACTCGTTCGGGAGCGAGCGGCGGCGAGAAATGACGGAAAATCCGCCGATACCGTGGCAGCGTCGCGTAGCGTCCGATGAATGACGGCTCTAATGAGCGTCCCAACCCTCGCGAGCGTCCAGCCCGCCGCGGGTGACAGCATTTCGCGCTTCTTTTTCGACGGGGAACATAATTACGTCGCCTTGTTGCGCGGCCACGCGGAGGTAACTGAAGCAGCCTCAGTTGGTCGCCCGTTGGCGAGCGGTCATTCACTCACCTTGTCCCGTTCGTCAAATACCTTCATACACCGGTCACCGCCGCCGCCATTGCCGCCGTGTAGTCATCATTCGTTCGGCAATCCGCGACGATCTGTAACGAATCTACCCGAATGGAATTTAAATTGAAGCACCGCCATCGGCATCGCGATAAACTCTCCGAAAGAGCGAACTATGCGCGCCGTGCGGGAGAGGGAAGGAGAGAGGGAGGGAGGGAGAGAGAGAAAGAGAAGGAGATCGAGACAGAGAGAAAGATTCTCTTCCGCGCTCCTTTATTCGCACCACCACCGCCGAAGTATGCGGCGAGTTATGCGCGTCTCGCGCCCAAAATCAATCAGATCGATC